GAGGAGGAGGAGGAGGAGGAGGAGGAGGAGGAGGAGGAGGAGGAGGCGGGAGTCTGCGCGGGTTCGGCCCCCGACGATCAAGCAGGCGACCCGGGGGGTGGGAAGCCGGAGTAGGGGCACCTAGCCGAGCGTCTAGCGTGTCGGGGGACGCTTTCAGGGGGGCGGGGGCGGGATCGGGGTGGCCGGCTGGCGCCTCGGACTACGACCTCGGTCAGAGCGGTGAGCGGGTGTTCGGGGCGTGGTTGTAAGATTGGGCGTCTCGCGCTCGCGGGAGTTTCTGCCCCCCAATACGTGCGTTTGCCGTGTGTGTGGAGACAGAAACGGAAGGCGAGTACAGTGTTCTGAAGGCCTGAGTCGCTCGGATGCGTTGACAAAGCGGAGGGGCGCATCGGAAATCGACACAATCCTCCGGTAGATGTTTTTTGAAAATATACATGCAATCAACGAGAGGCTACCGTTCGCGATACAGCAATATAACCACTGTCGAAGGGGGTGCTGTACACAAAAGAAACGCCGCTTGCATGGAAGAGGGGGACCAATCTGTCGGGAGGGGGGGGAGATGCCGTCGAACCAGTTAGTTGTTAGGGATGAGTATGAAGTTTTTTGAGGTTGGGGTACGAATGGTCCAAGCGTTGTGGTGTTTTAGTCCTCTCCGCAGCACTAGTAGTAGTGCGGGGCACACTCGCGGCGCGCGCTGTGACCACAGGATGAACCCGTATACACAGTGTGGAGGCCTTGACCGCAGCCACCTTCTATTTCCACCCACGGAAATCGCTCTCGCCCGTCGACATGACAGCGTCTGAGGTGGGACTGGACTTCGACCGGGAGGAGACCGGCAGCAGACACCCCCGCCCGGGAGCAAACGTCCGCCGCGGCCCTGAAATTCAGGACTACACCCCGTTCTAAAACCCTGTCGTGGTATCCTCCGTTTTGTAAATATGTTTGTTGTTTGGCAGGTATTTATTTAGCCGGAACGTACGTCCATTTGGCCGTAGGCGTGAGGGAGTGAAGCGATGGCTGTTGTCATTGTTGTTCACGCCAGGACGGTAGTGGGTAACTTTGGCGGGGGCAACAGTAGGGAGCGCGCTTGCTGTAAACTTGGGGGTTTGTTGTTGTGTTCTTGATTGTCTCTATTACTCCGTATTCGTCGTCGTCCCTGTCGGTGTTCTTGTAGGCCATCGAGACGTTTTTGGTTGCCGTCGGTTTCCGAAAGAGGCGTAGAGATGGCACCCCCCCCTAGACCGAATTTTAAGCTCAATTTTCTCCGCAACCAAGGGGGTTCAGAAGACAGCCTCATAATTCTACGGGAAATCCCTTGACGATATTTTTACTAAACCATAATTTTTGGTGTTGGCACAATCTTGGTTGCGGAGCAATCGAGCTTTTGAAAATCGGTCTAGCTAGGGGGAGGTGCCATCTCTCCGCCCCTTACGGTACGTTGGCCTGCCCAGTGAAAAGGTTTTTCAGTTTCTGGGGCGATTGGGACAGCCTGGCTTTGGTTGGTTACACGCGAAAGCAAGTGTCGATTAGGACGCGTTGTGTTGGCCGCATGCGGACCCAACGTGTCAACTAGGACGTGCGTGTGTGTTGGTCGTATTCGGACGCACGTGTCGACTAGGACGCGTGCGTCTTGGTCACATGAGAACGCGCGTTTCAACAAAGAGAATGGTTTGCTGTGTACTATTTTACGTTGGGTGCGGCCATGCCCTTCGGCGTTCTCTCCTCAGTGTGCACGCACACCTCACACCCACACGATGTTGGGGTAGGGCGACGCGCCACGCGGGGTTCACTAGTAGAGCTCCACGCCTCCTCTGTCCTGCTCTTCTGTGTTGTTCGTGTCTGGATGTGTTGTGCAGTGCAGCTCGTGGGTTTTTGGTGGCGGTGGTAGAGAGAAGCATCGAGTGATTTGTGGCGGTGGAAACGACAGGTCGGGAATGGTGTATGTTGAGAATATAATGTTACGAAAGAGGATTTTGGTGCGCTCGCTTTAACGGGCCCCCCTTTTTTTTTTCTTTGAGGGTGGCTCTCTCTCTCTCTGTGTTGATGTTTGATCCTCTGGGTATTCTAATGAGAGATAATTTTTGTGGAATGGCACAGTGTTAATGTAGCTAATTTATGGCGAGATGAAACACGAAGTCTGGCGAAAGTAGGGGGGGCGGCTACGGCCGAAGAATGTATTTCGTTCCAGCCAGAACAACCCTTCCAAGACTCCAACGACGTCTTTATAGAAACAACGTCGGGCACAGCAAACGGGCAGAATTGATACGTTCGCCTTTAACAGGTTTTTCGAGGCATGCCGCGCCGCGCCACCGAATGGACTCTTTTTCTTGGACTTAAGGGCTTGGCGCAAGCCACAGCAACCCACTTTCCTACTATTACAACCCCTCGCAATCATGTCCCCAAGCACTGAGCATGTGGGCCCTCGGTGCGTATAAAAACCTTTGTGGGGTCCTAGACACACAGCCGAGGAAGGGTCATTGCCCACACATGCCCTCCGGGCCGCATCCTGTCAAAGGGCTGTGGCAGTAGAAACAGAAACATTTTATTTACTTCGAGTTCAACCCCTCCACACACACGAACGTTCGTCTCGCGTGGAAACCTCAACCTTTTCTAAAACCTAAACCTCGTCCTACAAGTGTTGGTGTGCTTTTCGGCGCGATTCGGCGGCCATGGCGGCAGCCTCAGCAGACCGGGCGCCGCCCTTCCTGGCACCAATGGCGCCACCGACGCTGCCTCTTCTGCAGCTCGCGGCGCCGCTGTTGAAGTCCTGTCCGCCCGGTGGCGACCGGTGCTTCAGAAAATCGCCCGGCTCGTAGCTGCCCGCGACAACGGTCGGACGTTTTCGTTCGAGGAGACGGGGTGACGGGGGTTGGGTAACATGGGGCAATGGCAGACGCCACTGGGAATTGCGAACGCAGTGCACCCGAGGGAGTGGCAACACAGATGAGAGCCATGCCGCGCAAAAATACTCTCGTTGTTTGCCAGTTGCTCAACGCCTTCCTATATCTCTAAGACCATTTTTGGTGGCCAGGTAGACGGGTTGTCACTCGGAGGGCAAGAAACTTGGACGGTTAGCCTAAACAAGAAGCAAGAGGTCATGTGCCTCTTCTCCCTGGAAGACAACTTCCGGAGTGTCGTACAGTGTGTGTCTTGAAAAGGGCACTACGCCAGAAAACGAGAAACCAATTAAGTGCCAGCATCCCAGTCGACCGCAAGACCACTACCTTACCGACGGACCCCACGTTGCCGCTCGCGGGCTCGCTCACCGCGATGAGTCAAGTGGTGTGGACTATATATTGCATGGTGATGGTGTTGGGCGTTTCATGTCGCCCCCCTCCTGTTTCCCTCGTGAAACAAACTTAGCATGGACGAGCTCATGAGGGCTTTTTGCGCCTCTCCTATCTTCGAAGAGTTGTGTTATGTTGGAGAGATAAATAACAATCCTTCCAGTGACCCTTTCAGGGGCGTTTTTGTCACGCAGCAATAGTTGCCTGAGGGAGGACATTCCGGTGGCCAAAGGTTAGGGAAGTCGTGAGTTCGGTTGAGCGCAACTACCTAACTTTTTTGTGAGTGTATCGCTACATTCCACGCGCCCCTTTGTTCCCTTCGATGGTTTTATGCCCCCCCCCCCCCTCCCCGTTTCTCACCCTTTCCGCCTACAAAACATGTTGTTCCTGCCCTTGGCGTGAACGAGCAAGTCTTGGCGCCTCGTCTCTTCCCGCTTGAGCTTTTCGCTGTTGTACCCACCGCACTGAAAGGGGTCTGACTCGATGGGCACCATCGCCCTGCAAGAAGATTTTCGGAGAGCAAGAGGCGCACATGTTGGGGAACATGCGAGGGTAGGGGATATAGAGGTTGCTCAGTTGGGGAGACGCTTGCAAGACGGTTCAAATGTTGGGGGTCGAGCATGGTTGTCGAGCGGTCATAAGCCGACCGATGGAAATCGTCGTTGTGAGCAAGCACTGAAAATGCTCCAACAGGTATGTAGTAGGTATGCGTACGTCGCTTCCTATGCGGACGACGGATGGAAAATAGAAATCCGGTACGGTGCGAGCACAGTGCTTGCCACCCGCAACGCTGAAGTCGATATGGTGCGAGGCAAGTCGTCGTCAAAGGAGGGATGTTTGGGAGAGTGTTATCCTGTCTTGGAAATTAACTTCAAACTGCTGGAAATAACCATCCGGTGATGTGGAAAGTACTAACAGATAGAGTTTACACCTTTTGGCCGCCGCTCGTCTTCTCTGCGAACCTCTCCTGGCCGACAAATCGGATGTCGGTGGTCTCCCCTCCGAGCTGCTTCTAAACCGTTGGATCGTATCTGCCATCTGCCACCCCAAAGCATAGACGTTGGCAGCCAGAGGTGAACGGAGTCACATTAAGACCTTGAAAGCTTGCTCGACGATGGTTCTGTTCTATTTTGTTCGGAAGGAGAGTAGCTCGATCTCGTAGAATAATTGACATTGCTGATGCCTGTGCGATAATTATCGGGCAACGTCCACAGATAGGGCTGATCTGGTTGCGTGCGTCTATGCGTGTCGAGGGGTAACGCGCACCATCTGCCTCCATTCGGTCTTAAGAACCGCTTTTCTCGTGGATTCGGAGGAGCGCGCAGGGGGCATCAGAACCAAGAAAGATTCCACGCATGTATTCAAGGAAAAAAAATCTTCTTGTGCCGTGCCTCCGAAATCATCACCCCACGCTTTCCCAATCCAAGCTCAAAAGCAACAAAATTACGGTAGGGCATGCGTCATGATTTCACTGGTACTTTGCATCGGACATCGTTGGTAGTACCTTGGTAAGGCGGGAGGTTGACTCTCACCAGAAAAGAACCCGTCCCTTTTCTCAAAGCGTCTTCCTTCTCTAGAAGGGTGCGTTTTTCCGCCTCGAAGTTTCCCTGAGTGTTGGCATCCGACACGGAAAATGGAGAAAAAAAACGAGCAGAGCAGCGGCCACAAGAATAACGACTAGCGTGAAGCACACGTTCGCAAATCGTTACGAGGGTTGCAGGCTTTCATCGCGCGGCAAAGCGTTCAGACAACAGCAAGGAGCAATTACGTTAGGAAAAACGTTCTTGCAGATTGACCCGCATCGTCATAACTAACTTCCACAAGGTTGCAAGAGTACGCACCTTGCCAGCAGTGTAACGGTAGGCCTCCTGGTGGTTCATCCCGACAAATGCAGGGTCATACGCCCAGAGGTGCCCTTGATTTCTCTCTATGAACGGCCGTAGAAATGCTTTGACGCCGCCCGGTGACGGCCAGTACCTGTTCGGTGGTGCTCCAGCGTCCCCCGCCATGCTGTCCTGGAGGCTGAAACAAAGAGTTTTCAAGATGCAAAATGATGACGTCCGTGAATCGGTTGAAACGTTCCCTGTTTTCGCTCGTTTTGTTGCTTCCGATACTGTTTTTTTCACCTCCCAGTACGGTTTTCTCTCAGTGCGGTCCCTTCTGTACAGACACCAGCACTGTGTTGATCTTGATAGGGAGAGGGGCGGGGAGTGGCCGCTACAGGGATTTTAAGCCATAGAGGAACCACCTGAACTCCTCATCCCCATGTGAATTGTACTACAGTTGCCCAAATAGATCAATGTTCGTGGAGAATTCCTGGGAACATGTGAGTGCCGATTTCGCATGTATGTACGGCCTGCTTGTTCACCTTCGATCGAAATTATTGTTCGGTGACGCTAGTGCGTTTTTGGCCCTATTTTTAGGACCAGGCGACGTCTGCTGCCTTTGTGGACCCTCCTCGTGCAGAAAAATTGGCTGTTGATGCTGCTGTTGTTGTTGCTTTTGCCTCCCTCTTATGCTGCTGTTCCCATCCCCGTCTATTACCCGTAGACCGACCCCGTTGGCATTGGGCGCAGCTGTTGTTCTGTCTAATCTACCATGGGCAACGACCGTCCCTCGCCTCCTCCCCCCACCGGTGGTCGACGGCCTCAGCTGCCCACCTCCTTCTACTGCCGCTACCTGGGACTGTCGGTTGCTAGTGGTAGGGGTAGGCCCAATATTTGCATCGCGACGCCTCTGCTGCTGCTGTCGTTGTGGCGAAGCGTCAGATGTTGTTGGCCGTCTGTGGTTTTCAACGCCCATCACCGGTGCCGGTTCAGGCAATCCCCCATCGGCGTTCACGGGAATGGCCATGGCCGCTCCTTGGACTACTCCTCCCGCGACCATAGTGTGGGGTTGGCGCATGGTCGTCGCATCGGCTGTATGCGGACGCAACAGCTCAATTTGCTGCTGATGCCGTCGCTGATGTAGACCACCAATCCCACCCACACCACCGACGTCGCCGTTGCGATTCGTGGACACAGGCGAATATATTCTGCAAACTTTCTTTGCCAGCTTCGCGGTGGTGATGGGGCGGGGTCGCGGTGCGCCGGGACAGTCGAGGGACGCGACAATGGTTGCCTCGACCTCGCCGTAGCCATTTGTCGGCACGGCCTCGGAAAACTCCGAAGAACCCAGAGAATTTTGTTGCTCCCTTCCATACAGACCCATCTCGAGAGGATCTGCGTCTTGCTTTGAAATGCGTCGATGTAGTGAATCCGCCTTGCTCAGAGCTGTGAGTTTGGACTCGACAAGCACCCCACGAAAGCGGGGGTCCAGCACACCAACGCCCAGGAATTACGTGTGGTTACGCGAAACACACGTGCGTTGCGGGGCAGGTGCAGGGGTGGGCAATGAGCGTGGGCAGGCTTACCTATTTTGTCATTGATCGTGCCGCCTTCTGATTGTGCCGCCTTGCTCCCGAATCGGCACAAAACTCTCCGCAAACTCAAAATGTTTGAATCTATGCTCCTGTGCTCCACATACAAGTGCATGGGTACATGTAGATAGTGCCCTCTCAAACCTGACGTTCTTGTCACCTGCCGGCTGTCTTCCTGAATATCAATATGAACGACCCTTCCCTGCGATTAGAGGTATCGCGAATCAAAGACAGCGATGATCTTCCCGTGGTGAGAGCCTTGTGCAGCAACCCAACCTCCTCAAGGCAACGAAATCCTAACCCGAGTGCCTCGGAGCGCAGTACCCATTGGCTGCCAAACCGCTAGCCGATTATCCGCTTACTTCTCTGTCCACCTTGTGTTTCACGCCAGCCGCCAATCCCGCAGCCGCCGGATTTCTCCAACAGCGTTATTCCGATGAGGGGGAAACTGAAGCATATCCAGTCCTACATCACGTCTCTCGAGTGAGCTCATCTTCGTGGTCTACTCAGCAAGAGGGCGGAGCACTGGTAGCAGCTCGTTGTCGCCTTTGCACTTACGTCGTAGAAGCCACAAGTTATCAAATGCGCATGTGTTGGTGACTCGATGCCTTCACCAGCCAGACACGCCCCGGGCAGTCGGCTGCGGCGGATAGATGTGAATCATTGGTAGCGATCGCTCTGTGAGATACTGTAAAAAGTTGTAGATAGCCCGTTCGTACAGTCTGATCCTTGAATTGTAATGGTGTTCTCTGTTCAATGTGGTTCATTGCATCATCCTCCGCCATTGCGAACAAGACTCGTGCATTTAAGTACATTGAGAATCTACCATAGCCCGAAAATGTACAACATGCATCGTATCCAATGCATCACGTCACCCCAGGTATAACTACACGGGCGAAGCCTTCTTCGTGAAAAAGAAGGACCGCGGGTTCAGACACGTGACGTCCACAGCCAAGCTGATTATCCGCGAGGCGCTGCCGATCCAATGCGTCGAGGCTGTCTTCGTCGGGGCGTATCTTACCGCGGACATGGCTGAGGCAGGTCCTCAATTTTTTCATTCCGTAGGAGACTCGTCCATATTGTCGCCATAATCACGTCGCGTTTGCTGGGTTAGACTACATGGTGGGTGTGAGTCACTACACCCCACGCTCTGTGACACTGCATGAACCCCTTTACTGCGGAAAAGCAATCCGCAGGTGCTAAATACCAATAATGCAGAAATCGGTACCTTATTCGTCCCGAAAACTCGTGCTCCCTACGTTGATCACAGCCGTTTCATACAAACCCTCCTGCCCCTCTCTGCGCGACAACCTGAAATCTGTATCACCGACCACAGGTGGATCGTTTTCCTGTATGCTTCCGATCGTCTCTGGATGGGCGCGTGTACAGGCACATTGTCCTAGCCGTGCGTAGTGGGGGGAAGTGGGGTTCTCTGGGTCTGAGTCGCCGCGACAAGCTCATGTACAAGGAACTGAAGTGAGTCATGGCCTTGTACGACAAGAGATGGGTAGATTGCCGTTGCCCTAACGGGTACTCTAGCTTATACTACGTGATTCACCATCAAGATCTACAAGGTTTCTCCGGTAGTAAATAGTGATGACTTATGTCCATATACATAGGATATCAACTTCTCAACGATGCACCATGCCACGCACGGGCATGCATGTTGCAGGTACGACCTGTTTTCGAAGCTTGTAGGCGACTTCAGGGAATCGTACGCTAGCAGCTGGCACCGCCTGGAACAGGTCTGGGTAGGCTTCCCTCTTCCTCATGACATATCTTCCAACGTGGCCATCAAGTGGAAGGTATTGGTGGTGTGAGTTTTCTTCCATGTGTCCTTGAGCTGTTGGGACAAATGACATGAAATCGAATTATTGGCAGCATTTCACGGACGGTACAAATCTGGCACCAGACCTGCGACTCGGTTCCATTCGCGGGGGGCTGATATTGTATTTTCGAGTGAGCGAGTCTTAAAATATGAACCACAGCGTCAAATTTTCGTCCGCTGGCACGTTGGCAACCATGCTGCGAGCCGTCGGGTATATCAGCGAGAAGTGGTCACGCGACTTGTGTTTCCTTGTTCCGACCTATATGGCGACTGTATCTACGTGTTGACACGAGACTCCCAAAAGCTAGCGCCAAACTGCCTGTCATAAACAGTCATCAGCACCTGTGCTGCTTTCACTGGTCCAGGCGATGCGAGCGAACGTCGGAACGGATCCGGAATGGTCGTCAGCCGCACACGATCTCAACCGCTTCGTTGCCTGCGCGAACAGTCTTTTCGAGAGCTTCACCACCACTGGAAAGCTGCCCGACCACCCTCTCCTCAGCAACAGCACCGACACCACCAGCAGCAGCAGGAACAACTTATCACCCTCAGCCGCAGCCAGCAGCGGCAGCGGTGAGGGAGAACGTGGTGCGGGATGGGAGGGAGATCCGACCGATCCGAGAGGGTCCCCGGGTGGACAATCGTCGGGTGTCAGGTCTCCAGGCTTTCCGCCGTGCTGGCTCGCACCCGAGGGCAACCGAGGCAGGCGCGGGGGGCGGTGGAGTAGACGCGCGAGCACGCCTCTTAGACCTACGAAAAGTGGAGGAGGGGGGAAGGAAAACGGTGGGATCGTAAGGCGTGGCGGAGCCGGGGGCGGGAGCACCGGGGGCGCCGCCGCCAGCTCGGGGGGTTCGGATGGCCCCAACCTTGTGGCCTCGCCTCCACGGCCGAGATCCAGGTCGGTCGTCGTTGGCGGTGGCCGCAGCGCAAGGAGAGGGGCGGCGAGAGGCGGAGGGGCTGGAGCCAGTGTGTCTCCAGGCAAGTCTAGGCGGCGCATGTCCAAGAGTACCGACAAAGACAGAGACGACAAGTCTACCTGCGATACCAGCGATGCGGCTGGTACTGCTGCGGCCTTTGGTGTTGCTGGTGATGGAGGTGTTGCTGCTGTTCTGAATAGTGGGAGGGGGGGAGCAGACTCGAACGAGCTCTCGCCACCCCCGAGGCCGCTACCAGTTTCGTAGCAATGGTTGGTTGAGCTTGTCGCGTTCTTCTCAGCCGAGGGTGTCCCGCAGAGTAAACTTGTTGTGGTTGATGCGAAGACGAACGGTAGATAGAGTGATGCGTGAGGAAGCGGCGTGGTAGACAGCTGCGGGAGATTGTTCTTGGCCAACATTTCTCCTTGTTTTTCCTGGGTATGTCAGTATTCAGCTTTTGTTCTTGGCGAGGTGTTGTGTTGGTGTTTTTATTGCCTTACTCGTCGTTCCGACCTCTGCGTAGTATATTTTCCAACATTTGCATTTGGTCCAACTGATGCGTGATCACAGGCTTACGGCCCCCGAACGGGTACAGTATTCACACGAGAGAAAAAGGACCAGGACACCAACACAACGCGACTACAATAACAACAGGACATACAACCCCCCAGGCGGTCAAACATCGCAGCTGTCATGTCAGACGAAATATAGTAGATCGATAGGCAGAACTCATCGCTGTGGTTGTGCGTTCTGCCTTACTTTAATGTTGCTTGTGGTCGCGAAATTCGCTTCTTTTCTTTTTTGGAGGGAAACGAAGAGAAGGTTCGGGTCAGAACGGTGCTTCATGTATCAATGGCGCCATGATAAAAAAAAAAGAGACCGAGCTCAACAACCCAAACTGAATCCAGTCGAAACGATCACAATTTCAAGCATGGCCTGGAAGGAAGAGCGGTGTGAGCAGTTGGGGGCTGGGGGGGGGTCGCAACGGTTCACATCAATACAGGGCATGGTTTACATGGGCAGAGAAGACCTCCGACGCCGTGGCTACCAGGAACACGAGCGGCAGCAGGCGGCGCGGGGGGGGGGGGGGG